AGAGAGAGAGAGAGAGAGAGAGGAAGAAGACTTTGTTTGTATGAGAAAGAGAAGCACATTGACAGAATTACGGTTATTTGAATAAAAGCAGGGGAAAAGTTAGACTGACTGACAGATACAATATAGAGAAAAAAAAAGAAGTAGGACATACCAATGTTGCCCTCCAACCTCCCACAGAGAAAAAGAAGGAGCCAGATAGATAGCTAGGTGGAAAGGGGGGGTGGGGGGTGGGAAGCGGATAATATACACATGTTGACAATCTGACAATAACAGTTTGGTCATCTCACTTTGTACAATCCTTTCAGTTTGGAAAATGGAAATCTCAAGTTCATGTGAGCATCTTGATCAAAGACAGATATGATAAAACCAGTGCTGTAACTACCACTAATTCTTAATTTATGTTTTGCTCCATTTCATAAGGAATCAAACTCTATGCACTGTACAGAGATTTAAAGTAGAAAAAACAGACAGAAAAAAACCCAACATCTGTAAAAGTGAATAATAATGACAGTATTCATGGTCTAAAAAGATGATAAAAGACTCACTATTTTCTATTTCTCTCACATTTTGTGGGAGGGTGTTCCATACTTAAAGCCAGCAAATTCAAAAATATCTTTTACCAAATGAATTGGATTTCAACTAAGACATTATTGATTTGGTGTCAGTTGATGATCGTATGTATCTTGATGAAATGTAGGGGGTCAGCAATTCTTTTGAATATAGTGGTGCATCGCCATTCAAATATATATATAGAAATGAATACAAAAATAAATAGTATTAGAATGGCACGTATCCCCATTCAACAGCAATCTCTGTGAACTTCACAATCTATGTTATAACACAGGAAGATCCTAGAACACTCAGAAACTTTCTCAGCTTCTCAGGAAGCAGGCTTGAGTGCAAGCAGCCGAGCCGATTAAGCGTTCCAACACTAAGAACTGACAAGATCTTCAGCTATTTACAGCTCATGGGTACCTATTCCCAACTGGGTGAAGTGAGGGAAAGTCATATAAAATGTCTTTCCAAAAGACATAATGTCGGGCTCTTGATGGGGTTCAAACACATAACTTTTTGACTAGGTACCAGAAACTAAATTTTCAAACTAGCTGTATGCCAAATTTATCTGTTCCATTTGAAAGGCCTATATCCACTGAGCATTTTGGTACCATTCTTTAACCTCTCCGTCAATTTTTTAAGAAAATGGTAGTTGTTTAAAATTTTATTAAAGTTGTTAAAGTCAGTCACTGGCTGCAACCCCATGTTTGACAGACAATAAAAAAAGTACCAAGAGCAGTAAACATCTCCACATTAACAGAGTACAATCACTATAACAAATATATGGAGCCTAATTTTTTTCAAGACTGAGATCATTACAAATTTATCGCCTCAAACACGATGATTTGTCGTTATTTCGACAAAAACACCGAGCGTTGACCCGGCCGGCGCCGCATCGGCCCCCACGGCGAGCGAGTCGGCTCTATACTGTAGTGTACCACGCGTGCGGGGTCACATGCTTTCCGAGTCTCGTGGAAGGATTGATGAATAATAATGTCAAGTTCATTACTTTATTCTAATAGAAAATAAACTGATCTTTTATTTATTATTGGATACAAATCGAGATATTGGCAACTGAAGGAGGTGGTATTTTACATATTTTGTGTAAAAAGTGATATTTAAACATTTTGATGGTACTTTTAAAAGCTTTCTATTTAGACGCCAAAGGCTAAATATATATCACGGGAAAGCCCGTTTAAAGCTCTAAGTTCTCCGCCAATGAAAAGACGGTATTTAATCATCTCTCGTTCTGTGAAGCATTTGAATGCACGCGTGTCAATTTTTTAACAGGCCGACCACGCATTCCGACCGCGAGGGGCTTCGTTTTCGTCGGCGATTCTCCAGCTCCTTTATAATAATCGGACATAGAAACAACTTACACCATTGTAACGAGGAAAAGCTGAACTTTTACAAGGTGTACGGCATTTGGTGTTTTATAGCGAAAGAGCAAAGAAACAGAGAACGGAATTACCCCGATTTCACGCGGTCAGAAGGCCGCGAGTGCCCGCGAGGCCATGTTTACGCTACCTATTTTGACTGAAAGCCCACCAGTATAACCAGACCACTGGTACTACAATATATATGCACAAATATATTCACTGATTCAGAATCTCATGTTTTGGTATAGTGTTAACATATGTCTTCGCATCCACGGCCAACAGAATAAATGTTCACATTTGCAAAACAAAATATAAGGACGAGCGAGTCCTTAAATTGTCAAGTCCAAAGCAATCACATTCCATATACTTACATAACATTTACAATGTTGACTCTCCCAAATAACTTCTCTGTCCATGGTTCTACTAGTTTGATGATGTGAGGTGCATCAAGTGATTCTGTGCGTCTAGCTGTAATCACTTCTGCCTCTCCATCTTGGCTGATTGGCGTTGCCATTGTAATTTGTTATTTGAGACTTGCTTTTGCTCTGCAGAATCTGTGAAAATGTACAAAAGGACGTTAGAAAATGGTTTTTGTTTTCAAATCTGATTATTAGTGAACAAAACATATCAACAGAGTCATTTTCTGTACCATAGGAATTATTTTTTCGACCATCAAAGAGTGTAAACAAGCACCCACTCAGAGTCTGATACACTGACTTCAGATTGATGTTCGCGTGTTGGATACGATATGTTCAAGAAAAATAAGCAAAAATAGATTTGGATATATAAAACAAGATTCACAACACTCAACCAGCTCTTGGAAAATCACAACCAAACAAGTACCGATAAAAGTAGATTCTGAAGTAGACTAAATTGTTTTCAGAAGGTCTCTTCACTGTATTGTTTGCCTTCACTAAGATTCGTGAAGCATCGTCGCCATTTTTGTCCTAGCAACGTACACTTCCGGAAGACATGGCAAATGTAAAAACCATGAAAAATTGTTTGTAAAAAAAATATTATTTTACTAAATTCATCAAATAACAGTTTTGCATAGGATTTGGAGACTAACTAAGAAATACATATATCTGTCTATAAGAAAGTTTTCAGATTATGTTAAAGATTTCTTTAAAAAAGACTAAACACTCAAAATGAACTCGTACTTTGTTGCAGGAAGGCGCGCAGAGGAAGCAAAACCGAAAGTAGAAATCTACAGGAAATATAAAAAGTAGACAGAGTAGCAGACGATAAAAGTTGCAAGACTTTTCTCGTCTCTTGAGTTTTAGAACTTGGAAAAGCTCGGACAATGGCTTTTAGAAAACTCTGTTTTCTGTTCAGTGCTCTCATTTTGGGAGTCGGCGTTTTGATATCATACTTGGATTCATCGTGTCCATATCTTGGTAATGTTGTATTACTGATGAAGCCTGATGTGTTGATTAATTAGTCTACGATCGTCATTCTGACCCGCAACTGCCAGCCGTTATATCCAGAAATCTAGTGATAGTGTTAGTGCTTGGTTATTTAATCAAGACCATTTGCTTCGAGCTTTAACCCCCGGGGGCCACTACAGCCGAATCTATGTGAGCCTGGGCCGCAGCAAGCTTTCCACAAAAGAAAAAAAAAAAAGCAATGAAAAAGAAGTACAACTTTGAAATTGTGTTTACAAATAGTCAACAATCACCACCAGAAGTTGTCACAAGCCTGAGCTATAGTTCCCATGCGTGAATTTTAAACAGTAGGCCTACCCCTATTCAAAAGCCATCCAGAGCAACTCTTTGGCTAGGGAGCATGTGAGGAACGCGTGCAAGCCGCACTAACACACTTAAATTTGATGTCAAGTAAAAGCCGCAAAATTATAGCCTACCGTCCATCCTGCACACCTCAGTTGGCCTGGGAGCTGAGAGTTTGAGACCACTGATCTAGATATCTAGACTCTCTCTGCCTACCAGACCACTGTGAGCAAGTTGTTCATCTTATCTGAATGCGACCAGAAAGGGATAACAAAAAAGTTGTTCCCGCATCCGATCCGGACTTTGGGGATTGCCTTGTTAGTGAGACAACTTCCTGGGCCTTCGGCATATTGTGGTAGGGTGGCCAGTTCCTTTCCACGCTGCCTTTACTTCCCCAACTCGAAGTCAGGTACCCTTCCTGCTGGATGGGCAGGAGGGGGCGAAAAAAATCTGTGTCCGAATCAGGGCTCGAACCCGGACTTTCCACTTCGGAGACGAGCGCGCTAACCGCTCCGCCACGGCACCCTCCAGAAAGGGATAGGCCCTATAATTCCTTTAAATATTTTTGGAGAAACTCAAGTGTTGTTTATTGCAAAATAGGGGGAAAGGAATTTTTTTTTCAACAATCCCTGAGACAAAATGTAATGTGAACATAAATAGTGGCTTGTGTTAATCTGCAGATTGTGGAATAAAAGAGATCAATAAATTTGTATAGATGCTGTGAAGTGCAGCTCAGCTATCACGGGTAAATTCAGTGCCATAAATAGGGCTTGGGTAAATGCAGCTCACAGCCATATACAAGGCTTGCGTAAATGCAGCTCACAGCCATATATACAAGGCTTGGGTAAATGCAGCTCACCGCCATATATAAAGAATATGGATAAATGCAGCTCACAGCCATATATAAAGATATGGGTAAATGCAGCTCACAGCCATATATAAAGAATATGGGTAAATGCAGCTCACAGCCATATATAAAGAATCAGTTTTCTATGGTAGGCCAGCTCCGCTGCACTTTCAGTAGTGATGTTATGTTTTCTCAGGGTTTCCTTGACACCCTCGATCCATCTTTTGCGTTACCTTCCTCTTCCTTTCTAGCCTGAGTGCTGGGTGTTGTGGGCCCTTGAGGCTGGCTAGCCAGGTGACATGCGTAACAGGTGGCCAAACCATTTTATTCTTTTTTTGGCCATCTGTTACGCATGTCACCTGGCCAGCCAGTCTCGAGAGCCTACAACAAAATTGGGTAAATGCAGCTCGAAGCTACGTAGCCTATATATAGCAGCATGGGTAAATGCAGCTAACAGTCACATATAAAAAGCTTGGGTAAATGTGGCTGAGGCTAGGGAATGAGTGAAAGATGTGTCATAAGGATCTCTCATCAATCAAATTTTGGTTGGTAATAAGCCTGTTCTCAAGTTGCACCCCCCATCTCTTTCTTTTACTTTGTCATTAATTTCTCTTGCTATCCCTTCCTCCTCCCTTATTCTGTCTGCTTTTCCCTTTTCACCCTCCCTTTGTCAGCGGGGTCATTTCAGAACAAACTTGCAAAAAATAAAATCTTTTCCTTCATTTTAAGCAAGTTTTCATTTTTATCTGTCTATGGGAAATCAAAAGCTTTAGTTTGCACTCATGCTACAGATCTTTGAACTTCACTCTCTTGTATTGTGGGAGACTCGTCTGTCTTGTTGTGATATTAAAAAATCCAGCATTTTGTTTTCATCATTTCCCAGGGTTTAAAGAGTTGACCAAAACAGATGTTGATGTGGCGATCTGTGTGCTGTCAGCGAGGGAAAACTTTGACCAGCGAGCTGCGATACGAAAATCTTGGATGAAGGAAGTCACAGACGTTAACTCAGAATATCACAAGTATTTTCTCTTTCCTTTTTATGATTTAGAATAGTCTTGAATTTATGGAGGTAGAATTATGATCAGAAATGAAAGTTTAAAAACGTTTTCTGTTTAATAGTTCACATTGAAATAAATGAACAAAAACATGACTCTATTTTTCATTACAGTTGTTTTTTTGTATGACTCTATTATCTTGTCAAACTGAACTCATTATATTATAGCGTGATGTCATATATGTCATATATATATATCAATAAGGTCTGACTGAATATTTTATTTGTTTTTCATGTGAATCTCTTTTCTAGATTTCTTAGAACTTCATTTAGAGAATTTTACCTTTGCTCTGTTTCAGAATCTGATCCTTAAATTATATAAGGTGGACAGATGTGTATAATTTTAAAAAGATAACTTTAAATCTAATAACCAGCCTCTGAAATGCTTATTTAGACCGTGGAATTGAGTTTATACAGATAGTTGTGCATATAACATCTGTGGCAACCCTTTGCACTTTTTTGTTGTTCTTTTTGTTTCAGAACATATTTTAAGATGTTGATGATGATATTCATAGAGGCACCTGTATCGATTTACACTTGATTCCTATCTTCGCAGAAGTGTTATGGCCAAGTTTGTGGTGGGAAGTGTGGCGTGTCCAGTGCACAAACAAGACCGAGTGGACGCAGAGGGATGTGAGAAATGGACGCCGGTCTTGCCCACTGAAGGTTTGTTGCTCGTTTGATAGAAATGTCCTCATGACATGAACAGCGTGTGTACTGTGTTACCGTAAGGCTGTTTATGGTTGCACATGGACGATGTTTTTAATTGATTTTCTCTGCCTGTCTGCTGGTTTGTCGTATCCCTTACAGTTTATTTGGCCCTGACAAGCACGTCAGTATTCTGCCCCCTTAATGACCTCAGTTGTGTTGATGGGAGCGTAAAACGCTTATAATTACATTTATGAGGCAACATGGTGAAATCAGGCGCTCGTCAAAATAATGAAAGTGAAGAAACTGGCATTTACCTGCAGGTTTGGGAGTTTCTATCGAATTTTTGTTTTTTGATTCAGCACCTTTCATGTTCTTTGCAGAACTCATTTCTGTGTGGATTTTACTGAACAAAGTTGATTAAAGGCACAACAAATATACATTTTCTATTTCCTCAGACTCTCAAGCTAAGGAAATAACTAAAGTTTGGCGGCCATTTTCTCGCCAATCTTACCTCTGAACCTCTGAAACCCGGCGATCCCCACCTCCTTCAGTTGCCAATATCTCGATTTGTATCCAAGATGAATGAATATGTTTTCATCGAAAACAAGACAAATGAAGAAGCCTTAAGATGATACCAATAACTCCACATGCCCAAAAATTGACGAGCGCCTGATTCCTCTGCGTCATGACACATTTCTTAAAAATACAGCAAGAAGATCTTTATATGCCAGCGTGCTGATGTTTAAGATTATGGGTGAAGGAAATCTCATTTTTTTCAAAGTAAACTTTTGGATTTGCGCAAGCAGAATTATGATGAGAAATTTCTACAGTGTGTGTACATACCTGTTATTATTAAAGGAATTAATTAAAACGGTCCTAGTCATTTGTTTAGCTTTGCTTTATGTGAAGCTGTCACTGGTAATATGTGAGGCAGCGTGGTGGAATCAGGCTCTCGTCAATTTTCGGGCATGTAGAGTTATTGGTATCATCTTAAAGCTTGTTCACTTGTCTTTATTTGGATGTAAAAAATATCCATTTATAAAATCTTAAATACAAGTCGAGATATTTGCGAATGAAGGAGGTGGTGGTCACTTGTTTTCAGAGGTAAAGTTAGTGAGAAATGGCCGCCAAAGATTATTTATTTCCTTAGCTCAAGAGTCCGTGGTAACTTAAAATTTACATTTTTTGTGCCTTTAATCAATGTTTTTCAGAAATATCCACACAGAAATGAGTTCTTTAATGGGCATGAAAGGTGTTGAGCCAAAAAAGAAAATTTTATAAAAATTCACAAACATGCGGAAAAATGCAAGTTTCTTCACTTTGATTATTTTGACGAGCGCCTGATTCCACCACGCTGCCTCACATATACAGCTGTATCTGAGTTGACTCAGTGTTTTTTTGCTTTGTGTTCAGTACTATGGAGACTAAACTTAGCTGGAAGTAGTACAAATTTAACCCTGGCATGTTTTCTTTGACCTCAGCATAGTATCAACATTTTTGTCACCACGTGGTGGAATCTGGCGCATGTTGATTTTTGGACATATTATGGAGTTATTGGTATCATCTTAAAGCTTGTTCAACTGTCTTCCTTTCGATGGAAAAATTATCCCTCTTTCTTCATATGAAGCCGAGATATTTACTTTTGAAGAAGGTGCGGGTCACCTGGTTTCGGAGGTAAAATTAGTGTTTTTAAATGGACGTAAAAGGTGTTGAGCCAAAAATTTTAAATTCGATGAAAATTGCCAAGTAGGAAGAAAATTGCCATTTCCTTCAATTTAATTATTTTGACGAGCGGCTGATTTCACCACAACGCCTAACACTTTTTAAAATTGGAGGTGTCAACTTACTTTTTTATCATAATTTCATTTCTTAATAGATTCACTTTTTTTCATACTTTAAAAACATATCTTGTAAGCACATAGAGGTGTATTGCACAGGATTGGGGGCTGTTGAAATGATCTGCGTTATCGTCAGGTCTATTATTCTTCTTCATGTGCCAGATCAGAAAAGAAATGATGACCTTGGTTTGCCACTCATTTCTCTGCTCAGTTGCTCTAAAAAAACCCACGATATTATCCTGGTCTTTCCTTGTCACCTATTTGTTCAAGTTCTTTTCTACTCCTGTTTCTTTTGACTTCACAATTTTTTTGGTGAAAGCAGGATGCCCAGTGCCTTTTATGTCCATTCAAGTACCCCAGGAACTGCATTTGTCTTCTTCTAATTGTTCCTGGTATCCATTTTCAATTTTCCATTTATAGCTTTTGTTGAAATATTGTGACTGTCTCTTTAGAACAAAAAGATGACATCACTAGAACTATCTTGAAATGATCTTGCAATTGTTACAAATTGTGAGTTGGTGGTTGACAGGAGCTCTTGTCTGGTATGTTTCTTCTTTCCTATCAAACGTTTATCATCCTAATTTCTCCTCCTTATTTTTTGTGTTTGTTACTCTCTTGTAACGCCTCTAATCTTCGGCACTTGAGTGACCTTATTGTGTTGCAAGTGCTGTAAAACTCTAACTAAAACTACAACAAATTGGGTAAAATAATCTGTTTGAAATGATGAAACACAAGCCACTGATTTACTGAAGTGTTTCTCCCTCTTCAGAACAAAGAGATGGTCTCTCTGCCTTTGTGCTGACTGATGTACTCACCTCCAGAGGGCCGGTCTCACCTGTCACGTCTGTCTACTTCAAAGTAAGTGGCAACCATGTTTGATATTGATGATTTTATGCTCTGAATGTGTAACTGAGAGAAATAGGTCAGCTCTGTTTTTGTTCTGAAACCATTGCTGAGGTCACTCTAACTTAGAGGTCAGCATGTACTAAGCTATAACTTGTATAAAAGTCACTCATAACTTGTATAAAAGGCACTCATAACTTGTATAAAAGGCACTCATAACTTGTATAAAAGATAACTTGTATAAAAGGCACTCATAACTTGTAAAAAAGGCACTCATAACTTGTATAAAAGGCAATCATAACTTGTATAAAAGACAATCATAACTTGTATAAAAGTCACTCATAACTTGTATAAAAGGCAATCATAACTTGTATAAAAGGCACTCATAACTTGTATAAAAGATAACTTGTGTAAAAGTCACTCATAACTTGTATAAAAGGCACTCATAACTTGTAAAAAAGGCACTCATAACTTGTATAAAAGGCAATCATAACTTGTATAAAAGACAATCATAACTTGTATAAAAGTCACTCATAACTTGTATAAAAGGCAATCATAACTTGTATAAAAGGCACTCATAACTTGTATAAAAGATAACTTGTGTAAAAGTCACTCATAACTTGTATAAAAGGCACTCATAACTTGTATAAAAGGCACTCATAACTTGTATAATATAAAAGGCACTCAAAGCTATCTTTTATGTCTCATCATTTAAATCAGAAGGGTTTTTTGTCAAGCGGGCAAAAATTTTCCAGAAACCAGGTCCTCAGTTTGAGCATAACACAGTGGATGTGAGTCGGTGGTAAGACTTGCTGTTGTTGATTCTTTAAGTGTAGTGCACTACTAAACACATTTTGTAGGAATGGATGGTTTGAGGGTGCTACTGGTGCGTCTTACTTCTTTTCTTTTTCACTTTTATTCCTGTCTGTTTTTCTTACTTTTTCCTTTCAATAAAGGACATTTATTTTGTGTGGGCGGTTGGTGGGTGCTCTGATGTGGTTTGCTCCTTCTTTCTTATCTAACATCTATCGTCCTTATCACCCCTCCTTCTTTTTTATGTTTGTTACTCTCTTGTAACACCTCTAATCTTCTAGCGCTCATATGACCTTATGCAGTTGCGAGCGCTGTGAAACGTCTACTTAAAAAAAAAAGAAAGTTATTTTGTCAAGTGCTTCTTTTTTCTCAAACAAGCGAACAAGCGAGCCCTATCAGACACACTGTAAGTCATTTTGGAAGCAGAGTTTTTTATGACTTTTTTGGACTGAAAGGACTTAATATTCATGGACGGAGAAAAATAATACAGAACCCTCATCGATTCGAACCAAACACTTTGGCTTGACAGATCTCATGTAAGTTCCCGTGTACCAGCGACCTACACAGAGTGATGAGAGAAGTGAGAAAGAAAGGGTCTCTCTCTCTCTTGTCAATCTATGGCACAGGCTGGGAGTAGAAAATAGCAGAGCTCAAAAACTATTTATCTTCTGTTCCAAGGAGAAGCATTACTCTACACATCCTGGGGGGTATTTTCTGAACGACTAAGTCTGTCAAATGGAATGCCAGGAGAGACAAAAAACCCCTACAGTTGAACTTGCTCTAACGGCCACCAGTGTGAGACAATCACCTGTACAAACCGCCACTTCCCATTTCCTACCTAGTGTATTTTTTACGTTATAATGGCACTGTGTAAGACAGTCACCTGTATAACATGGGCTCTTTTCTCCTCGACAATGGGTGGCCGTCTTAGATTGTTTCAACTGTATTTCGCGTCACTTAGATGCCCTGTGTATTTTTTGGGTTAGAACGCATGATCAAAATTCTACTTGTACCGATAAAAATTTCTTGCTCTTTGTGTACTTTGGAAAATCATCTTCTTTAGGTAAATAGCAGAAAAATGGGAACCCAGAAAATTCCAGACTTGTGCGTTTCAAGAACGACACCGATATTATGAGAGTTGTATTTAAAAATTTTTTTTTTTTGTTAGTGTTTTTACGGCGCTCGCAACTACATAAGGTCATATGAGCGCGCGGGACACACCAAATATTTTCAGTTGGAAGGAAATTTTGAATTTTGCCGGGGTGGAGGCCGAAGCCTACTCTTATCGATTTTAGACCACCAAGGGATCTTTAACGTCTGCAACTTGCAGTTGTAGATCTTTCTTACCAGAAGATCAGGGGTGTGGCAGAAAGACAGCAGTAAGGAGGAGCCAAGGAGTAGCAGTAGAAAGGCTGCAGAATGAGTCAGGAGCCCAGAGGAGGGGGCAAAGGAGGTGAGGGGGTGGGGCAGAAAGTGGAAATGAAAGCAGACGACAGAACATTGCCTGAGAGCAGGAAAGGAGGTGAAAGGAGACAATTTTAGAGAAGAAAATTTTTCGGTCGCTACCCGGATTCGAACACGGGACCTTTGAATGAGAGGCCAACACCTTAACCTCTAGGCCACGAGAGCCCCCCAAATGTTGTTTAAATTTGTGAAGATTCTTGAAAGAGAATAGCTCAAATAGTTAATAAGAAAAAAAAATCAACAACTCTGCTGCTTTTATATCTGATAACAAAGGGAAATCAAACTAAAACTTGCTATCTTTTCTCTCTGCACAAGTTATAGTACAAAGACTCGGTGACACACTGGTATTTCTGATAACGAAGTGAAGTCAAACACCCCCCCCCCCCCCCCCCTCACCCATCCCCTCCAATTCATCTGGCTGTTTCCCCCTCTCTGTTCAAGGTACTCCATGATGTAACTGTTGAGAGAATTGGTTTGTCTGGATTACTTCCCCTGCCCGACACATCCTGGGGCCGTGTGCTGGAGGCTGTGATGTATGACGCTGTGTCTGACGTGAGTCCTTGAGTAATATCCCGTACTGCTGCTCATCCATTCTCAGTGGGGACTATTGTTGGCTGGGCCTGAAAACTGCTTGTCAAGAGGGGCAGGAAAAGCCTTCTTCTCCTCCCATAGGTCCCGGTGATTGAAGGATGAAGGTGTCTGTGAGATGACTTCCCTGTTGAGGGAATAAATGCTCACTACAAATACAAGCAAGGACCTCTGAAAAAATGGTGAAATGGTATAGGTTTAATTCTCCTATCAACACTTTTCGGTTATTTAAGAGGCGGGACCTCTGAGGTTAACGTCCATCTCCGAAAGGACAGAGTCAAGCGGGAAATTCATGTAAAATGCCTTTCCCAAGGATACAACTTCGGACCGAGCTGAGGCTCGAACCCCCGAACCCACAATCTCTTGATTATGGGTCCAGTAGCCTAACCACCAGGTCACCGACGCCACTACGGACCTCTGAACAATATAGAAGAAATGTTAATAAAGTAAAGTAAAATTTCATTTTTAATGGTCACCGCGGAGAACTTTTGTTGTTTTCAATGACATTGCTACATTCATGAATACATAGATAGTTAGTGGACTGCTTTTCATCATTGTTACATAATTAATGAATTATGACACAGTATCATACCAATACAGACTTGTTCCCCTCACATTCCTCTCTAAAGGCTCCTCTTTTATTCTTTTTATAGAGTGAGGCTTCTTTTCTTCCCATTCATCATTTTTGTCTTTCTCGTTTTTTCTGATCTGTAAACAACTTATTTTGTTGATGTGTTCACTTTACTCAAACGAACAAATGAAAAAAGCATTGTTTTGCGTAGCATTAGTATTTCAATTATTCATTCTTAACGAACTTGGGAAAAGTTGATTTGAGTGAGGTACCTATGTCTTTTGTATGTGTCTTTTGTATGTCTACCTATGTCTATGTATTGGTATGTCTTTTTTTGGCATTTTGCTCAGTTTGAATATTTTGTCAACTTGCTCTTTTGGTACGTAGGAGGAAGTGAGCCGAGTGTCATTCCGGCCAGAGCATCCTGGGAAGTCTCACAAGGGATATAACTACCGTTCTGTCCCAGCGCTGATGCTGCCTAAGGTAGGACTGCTATCTATGCTGGCCTAAGGGAACACAGCTGAACGCACGCCTCTGGGTGTCCTTTGTCCTGACTCACACGGACACCAAAACTTACACACACTACCCCCCCCCCCCCCCCTTCTATACTTCTCATCTCCCCACTCTCTCTCCCCTCTTTTTCTCACACTATTCTCTCTAAATATATCTGCTCTCACACTCTCTCTTTCTCTCTCTCTCTCTCTCTCTCTCTCTCTCTCTCTCTGTTTCTCTATTTTTATATCAATTCATTTTTCTGTCATTATCACTCTCTCTCTCTCCCTCTCTCTCTCTCTCTCTCCCTCTCTCTCTCTCTCTCTCTCTCTCTCTCTCTCTCTCTCTCTCTCTCTCTCTACCACAGAGACAAACAGATACCTTACCGGCCATTTCCAGATTTCTTTTCCTTCTCTTAGAGAAAACTGTCCACCTTTTGTTCTCTTCTGGACATTTTTTTTTGCTACTTATAGAGACAAACATTTGATCTTTTAGGTCACTTTCAGACCGTTATTGTCTCTTTACAGACAACTTCTAAGAGTCATAGAGGGAATAATGAATGTTTCCAAAGTCACTTCCAGACTTCTGTCACCACTTCATCCCCATCAATGCCTTTCACCCCTGGCATGGTATAGGCCACATACAAGCTCCTTCCATTAATTATCTCTGTCCTGAGCCATCCTTCCAAGCTTGTTCCAAGTGAGCTTCATTTCTCTCATGTCCCTTTCCACCCATCTCCTCCATGTTTCCCGTGGCCTACCCCTGCCTTGTGCTCCCTGTGGTTTCCACTGCAGTGACTGTCTTGTGATGTTTCCACTGGGCTTTCTGAAGGTGTGTCCCATCCATCGCCACTTTCTTAGTCCTATTTCTACTTCTATATCCTTTTGTCCTGTCCTTTCCCACTGCTCTTCATTTCTTATTCTATCCTGCCACTTAATTCTTAGAATACTCCTCGTACATCTGTTTCTGTCTCCACTTACAGAGATAAATATATCTCTTCTACATCCCTTCCTTCCAGATCTCTTTTGCCAGTTTACTGGCTGGTCCTAATACTTTCATAGAGACAGAGTTGACCTTTGAGGTCACTTCTGTGCTTCTTTCACCACTCATAGAGACAAACGATTAGCTTTTTAACTCACCTCTAGACTCTGCCACTCATAGAGACAAACGATTAGCTTTTTAACTCACTTCTAGACTCTGCCACTCATAGAGACAAACGATTAGCTTTTTAACTCACTTCTAGACTCTGCCACTCATGAAGACAAACTGATAACCTAATAGGTCCATTCAAGATTTTATTTGCCCCGCATTTACAGAGATAAACATACAGTGAAACCTTGGTAGAACGTTCTCCCTTCAGATCCAAGATTTCCTACGTTTTAGCCAAGGTGCATAGTAACCAAAAAATGGTAGTAACAGGGGAGGTTGCTGTAAAGTATTTTTTAAATACACTTTTTAAATTATTGCTGCCCCACTCCCTCCCGGGAACTAAAAGAGTTCATTATGAATTGATAAAAGTAAAAAAAAATTTTTTGTTGTTGCTTTGATATGTTTTTTTTTTCAAATCCAAGTAGACATACATGCATAAGTAATTTATGAATGTGGTGAGGTTGGAGATCATGATAGTGCTGATGATGTTTTTTATCACGTCCCTGATGATGATGATGATGATGATGATGATGATGATGATGACGATGATAACAAATATTGGACATACAACAAAGATTTTGCTGGAAGAGAGAACCATCTTAAGTTGAACTTTGAATGTTATGACCATGCATGGAGTAAATATTGGCCCAACCCTAGGGAGAGAGAAGCAAATCTCTATGGGGGGGGGGGGGGGGGGA